TTAAAAAAATGCCAATATGAACCTATTGGATAATCAATTTTCTCCCGCCACTGCTGCCGACTTTATCGGCCTGGGCGAGAAGTCGACACTGCCGCCATCCGGCGGCGTTCCCCCTACTGATTTATTTTCCCTTTCAATACGCAAACTGTTATTTTCCTTAATTAATGGAGATTAATGTCATTAAAGCTACTAAAATTCCTTAATAATTCATAGATTTACATCCATAATCGTTTCAGGTATCACTTACCCTTTTTTACACCAAAACAAGTAGCCACCTAACAGCCACTTAACAGCCACCTAACTTAAGTGGCTGCTTGCATCCCAGGGTATCTTTCGCAAGGTTTGCTACTTGGGACGTCGCGTATTATACATAAGGTATTATACACGCCAAAATCTAGAGTGTAATATACATGGTATTTTACGTGTAAAATACTTGGTATTTTACATCATGTATTTTACATGCCCAACCCTAACTGTAACCCTCAACCCCACCAATAATCCCAGAAACACTAATATTCCCAACTCCTTGCACACCCCTAACTCTTCTAGTCCGGTTNTTACATCATGTATTTTACATGCCCAACCCTGGCTGAGGGTCCTTTATTTTATTTCCCGTAGTTAGAACGCGATTTTCCGTCTCGGCGTAGGCGCAAAGTCAACGTCCCCTCCCGCGAAGCGGGAGGGAAATGTAACTTTGCGACCGCCGGGACGGAAAATATATATAATCGAACATTACTATAGTTAATAAAAAAAATCCGCACCATTATTCAATAGAACCACTGGAAAACTATAGAGTTTTCCAGCGACAGCGCTGGGATTTTCTATGAATTTTTTGACCTACGTATCAATAATAAATATGTCGAGAGAAAGGAAAAGACTTTTAGATCATTAGATTCTGCATTCATTACACTATTGATTATAATATGTTCGATTTTACATTCCTGACAATTATTGCAAAATGCTTGGAGCTACCGTATTGAGAACCCCTTTCCGGTTATCGACAAATTTATACTTGGGCCCTACCATACCAACAGTTCCGTACACTCCATCGTAGTCCATGCGCCACCGCTACGAATTTTCTGTTGAACACTTTACATTGGCCCTGCTGATCTCCCCTATAATCTCTGGTGAAAACCATTCGGAGCATACCATCAATTTACTGATAGCGAAGAAAGCATCAAAACATCACTCAGTAAGATGCTTACTATCATATGCTCGCTGTCATATGCTCGTTACCCTGTTTGTTTTTTTTTAGTTTTCATGTAATAGTTGAACTGAAAAATCCAGTATTTTAGTGATTTCCAGACCATTCGAACAGAAAATCAATGGAATATTTGATTCTTGAATCACAAGAGTTTCTGAAATTTCAGTGGAAATTAAGGATGATAAAAATTTCCGGGATTTGACACAGAAAATTCAGACGAAAATTTTTTAAAGTGTTGAATGACTACAATGTTTGAATAGAAAATACAAGTTTTGTAGTTGTAATGAAAATTACTTTTCTGTTGGTCAATTATTTATTAACGAATTTGCCTTTGAGAAATGTTCCATTAGTGATATTTCAAAGACTTCCCGCGTATTATCACAAGTTGTCCCGCCCTTCCCGCCAGCACCGCCACTGTTCCCCGTGAGAACGGAGCCGTAGAATATTTACGAAAGTCAGGTTGACATCTCGAGATATTCATGTATTTACAGCTTCAAGTTAACCGAAGCAACTCGTTTTTCACTTCACTTCTATAAAAGTCAATCATCACTCACCTAAATTAATTATTTATTTCATGATCATAAAGATTCAATCCCTGCAAATATAAATAAATATAATAAACAGAAGATGTTCGGTCCAGGATCAGCGCCGATCGTGGTTCTAAGTGAGTAATCAATCAACCTAGTGAAAAACAAAATAATTGAAAGTGGGAGGGACACTGTCCCTTGTTTAGTAACAGAAAAATTAGTCACGAGTCTCATAAAAATAATGCCTGGTTTACTGATTATTGCAGGTCAGAACACAAAACGTGATTCCGGTAGGAAAGTGCAGAAGGAAAACATTCAAGCTGGCAAAGTGAGTAAAAGATGCATTAAACACGTGTTACATCGAAATCTTTACCTTATAAGGCGTTGAACCGGCGTCACGCCCACGTGCATTATTCTCCCGTCAATCTGACTGGAAAATTCTCATCTACTGAACAATTATAAACAATTATAAACACACATCCATACTCTCGTCAATTTTTTTCCCAAAAAATATGACTCAACATTCTAACCTAGACTTGCTGTTGTCTTCTACTCCACATTCGCCGTAGTCCAACTGTGACTCTACAAAAATCAGTAGGGAATTCCGGGTTTTAAGACATATCTTCGGATTTAAGGAATGTAAACGAATTTTTCCAGAAAAAAAATTTAAAGATATCCAAGTATCTTTCCCGGTTTGGTACAGACCACACTACAGATTCAATAATTTTCAATCATCAAATTTGTTCATTAAGGATGATTAGATAGTGTCGGTAAATGTCTTTTTTTTTCCATAGTCAAGACAAATTCTGTAATTTTTTCGGCTGACAACAGAGCATATAAAACTAACTTTTCTAACGTTAAAAAAAATTAATTGCAATAGGCTCGGCAGAAATTAATAAACTAATTTTTCCTGATACACGGGCTCTTATGAAATTTATGTTCAAATTGCTAATTCAGCTACTAGAAGACTCTAAAAATAGAAATAAAAATAGAAGGTAATGTGTAAAATCATACTGAATCCAATGGCCAGAGAAAAATCTCGGGTACCCGGGCAAAAAGAGGAAATATTTAAATGATTCCATCCCATCTAAGCGCATGTTAGCGCATGCATTTATTGCATTTTGATTATTTCATTTCTAAATAATGAACTTGGGTGGATGGATTAAAATTTGTATCAAAATGAAGGGAATATCTTCATCTCTCAGCTTAAAAAAAATTATGAATATTCAGCGTCACTGAAATTACATTTTGCACAGAATTATTATTTTTAAAACATTCGTTCATAAATAAATAATTGAGATTGTTTAAACTTTCGGGAACCAAATTTTTGTAGGCATGAAATTAATTCCAGCTAAAATTCTGAATTTGAATAAATTTGTTACTCCGAACAGATGATTTTTAAGATGGAAAATCGATTGTTTATAAATTATTTATATAAAATGCTCGTAATTTTAAAAAATTTAATTTTTCAATTATTTTATCATCTTCCTGCAAAAGTAAACTTTCTATTTTTTTTCAGATTTTTAAAATGTTTTCTAACAGTTTAATCTCGAGATTCAAATTCAGACCTGCAAAGTTTGAATAATAAAATCATTGTAAAATGTCCGGAAATTCAACTACATAAGTAGAGAAGCATCTCACTGTCGAAAAAATAGCCAAAGTACTTGGATATCCATAAGATGGTTTAGGGTGGTCAGGCTAATTGCTGAACGATTAAAGGAAATTCGAGTTTCGTGGTAGGATCGAAAATAAAAGAATCACCTAAATGGGGATATAATGACTTCCAGATCTTCAAAAATGTTTTAATTAGCAAAAAAAATTATTTGAAGTGAAAATAATAAAACAAAGAATAATTAAATTAAGAAATAGTTGAATGCAGCTGTAACCCCTAATTTCTGGACGACTCGGCCATTTTTTATTTATTTATTAAATGTCGATGAATAGAAAAAATAATTGATCACATGATTATACACCAGTCACATTATTGAAGGGTGAAATAATCAGTACAATTTTCATTTTATTCATGGAATAATCAATTCAATTTAAAATTGTCCAGAAAATGACCCCCGTCCGGAAATTGACCTGTTTACCTTATATTAATCTCAATCTATAAGACACTGATGAATTTTCGTTCGAGTTTCTGGCCGATTTCGTAATTTTATCTAAAAATGATGTAGAATAGTATGAAAACGTCAAAAAAATTTAATTAACAAAAAAAAGTTTGCTTATATGTCTGTACACACACGAAAAAGTTGAAGGATAATCGGGCGAGCCCGGAGAGTTGGAAAAAAACACCCATTTTTTTCTTTTTTTTTACGTATTCTTTAAATGATGAAAAAGGCGTGTGCAAAGTTTCAGACTACTGGGGAGCATGGTTAATTTATTACGAATTTTTGAAAAAGTGGTCATTTAACCCGTGATCTTATGGAATTGACAAAAAAAAACTGCAAAGCCCAAGGAAAAAATGCAGCCAAAGTCATGAAACTTTAGACACATTTAGAACATGTGATCAATGATTTTTTGAGTAAAAAAGATTGCCGCCTAGGAGCATTGTTTATTAATAATAGCGAAAAAAGTACTGAAAAATGAAATTTCTGCGCACGCAGCCCAAACGAGCAGCAACGTCCCAAGTACTGATCGGGTGGGGGTAGCGCGGTCAATTTAAACGTCTCTTGAGAGAGAGCGTTGAAGCGTTGTGATTGGAGCTCCCTCGAGCCAGTGGTACTAGCTCCTAGTGAAAAAAAAACTACTGACGATGTTGCTACTTTTTCGCATGGATTAATTTTTTTTCATTTATTAAAAAAAAAAACAATCTGAAAACCATTCAATGCGTGGAACAGATACAAATAAATTTGATTAGCTCCAAAAATAATTTTTAACCGGAGATACTTCCTAATAGTGCCTGAATTTTGAATTCGAATGGGAAAAATTTTTTTGTTCAGCGATTGGTTTTCTGCAGGAAAGCAATAGAAACCCCTCCGCCTCACCTACATTTCCTCCTCGCCCGATTATCCTTAATAGAAAAATCTAATTAATCTGCTAGACAATTCTATTGGATCTCTATTTCACTTTCTATTAGTTGTTGGTCGATTCTATTGAAACATTCAATAAAAAATATAAGATAGAAAAAGTCAATAGAATTCGATTTTTCTATACAATTTATTATGTTGAGATACTTACTATAGAATTTCCTCGGCGGAAATTGTCCTAGTTTTTTTTGTTTGGTTTTCTTAATGAAAAGAAAACGAAAATTGAATGAAAAAAACTTGGAAAATTTGAGTCGAGGACATTCCATAGGAAACATTTCAATAGAATAAGTTGTAGTAAGAAAAATCGAATTCTATTGACGTTTTCCATAGAATATTGTCACTTTCTATTCAAATATTAATAGAAAGTTTAATAGAAATCCAATAGAATTGTCTAGTGAAATCGCAAGGTTTTTCTATGAACTTTTTTCATACGTGTATGTAGGCGTGGATTTTTAACTTCCCGACCCGAAGGGAGGAAGTTATTGTAATGACCCCGAAAATCGAATGTGGAAATTTAAGCATTTCTCCACGTTTCATGACCTTTGGAACCACTTCTGACCCTTTTCAGGTACCTGTCTGTATGTGTGGATGTGTGTATGTGTGTGCGTACGTCTGTGACAAAAATTTTGTGCCACGATTCCTCCTGAACAAACGATGCGATTTGACTTTTTTTTTTTAATCGCTGTATTTTCATGTGACTTGAACCTGATTAGATTATGGAGACGATCGTCTCAGCGTTTCTCCAGTTTTTTCCAAAAAACATTTGGAAAAAAGTCGAAAATTAGCGTTTTTTTGTAAACGAGACCATTTCTCCGTGCATAACGATGCGATTTCAAGTTTTTTTTGTTAGAAACGATGAATCTTGATATAACGCACAAATCATGGAATACTGGAAGACATTTAATCAGCAGTTCACTAGCTTTTTTCGAAATCGATATACATTCAAGAAACAATTTTACTTTTCTGATAAATTACATTTTTTCTCGATGCGGAATACGGCGATGTGTGTGCATGGGAGTGTGTGTGAGTGTGAGCACGCGCACGGATTTTCTTGTCTTCTATGGGTATTTCCTCGGAGAAATGTGAGAAAAAGATTGAATAAATACATAATAAAAAAATTAATGAAAGAAAAAACAAATGGTCGGGAAGTTATTGGTGCGACCCGTAATGGGTCACATCCAATTCCACCAACCCCTACCGGTCATACCCTAAAGAGGGAGCGCGCGAAGCCTGATTTTTGAAAAAATGTTTTCAATTTTACGATGTCGCAATTTCTCAATAGTCTTTTTTTCTCGATGTCTCGATTACATTAGATTTCTTTATGACTATACTTTGTTAATTTATTTCTGTTTCAACGTAGCGGGCTATTGCAGTGATATTTTTCATACTTTGAAGATTGATTAGACATGTAAAAAACGCAGAATTAGTGCAGAAAACATCAATCTTTTATTCTTCGTTTGCCCTCCACATGCTTAAAATGGAAAAATTATTCTAGTGTATTCAAATTTTAAGCTACTGATGATTTTTCTTCCCAAAATTGTTCATAAAATGTGGAGATTAATAATTACGAATGCTTTCTCCAAAACTCGACCTCTAAATTGACAATTCCGCTTTTGTTTTAATGGAAAATTGCATTCTTAATGCGAATCAGTTAAAAAAATTGTTCTCACAATCTTCTTTATCGAAAATATTCAGAATTTATGATTGAAGGTATGATAAATATTTAGAGAATACATTTTTTGGTTGTTTTGCATGAATTGTGTCGTTTTTTATTTAAACAAAATCCAAATTATTGACTTAGAGGTTGAATTTGAGAAATGTAATTCGTAATATTTATTCTACACATTTTTTGAAGAATTTAAAAAAATTCACTGTGCCTGAAAAGTTGAGTACACTAACGAACATTAAGCAATTTATTTTTTTGCACTAGTTCTTCATATGTATACATATCTAATCGATCTTCAACGTATGAAAAGCCTCACTGCAATATCCCTCTACTTTGAAATTTCACCGTAGTCTGCCCGTAATCGAATTTTGTAATAAACTTTTCTGCCCAATATTAAACCAAATAGTGGTCAGATTTCATTTTTTTCCGTTTCCCAAATACTTATCCTGCCATCTTCTATCGAAATCAATTGAAACATCAATACCCATTCATACAAAGCTCTAGAGATGTCATCGTTCCCTAATTTCTTATCTGAGTGTTACTTTGACGTTCCATCTTATGGATGAAGATTCAAATAAAAATCTGAAATTTTGGCGACTAGTTGGTATTGTTGAATTATATTTGTGTACCACATTGGGTTCGATCGATTTAATATTCTCTGAAATGGAACAATTTATTGACACCTCTTTTCCCTAAATGTGGAAATGAGAGGATTAACCAAATTTCAGATGTTTTTCAAAAAATTCATTTAATGGAGTGTTGACTCATCTCGTCTCACCGCTAATTTTCCACAAAAATGTTCTCTATAATTTTAATTCTTTTATTACTAATTTTTTATGAAAATTTCGCTATCTCGTTTGAATTTTCAAATACTCCAAAAAACTCGAGTTGTCATGGAGTTGAATGCGCTTATTTCATCACTCCATTATTGAATGGTAGTTTTTGAGGAATATCTGTGAATATAAAGGTATTACCTAACTGGTCTAGATACATTTATTGTGAACTTATAGAGCTTTTGTTATAATTATCCATTATTCCGGAGATGTTTTTTGCAGCCCTCGTTCTTCATTCCAAAAACATTGTCCTAAAATTTTTATCAGCACAAAAACTGAATTATAAACGAAATTCATTCTTTTGATATTAATATTCCACTACTGAATCTCACTACAAATAATGTAATCCTCAGGCAATTGCTGATGTCATTCGGACATGTCTTGGTCCCCAAGCAATGCTGAAAATGCTGATGGATCCAACAGGAGGGATTGTAATGACCAATGATGGGAACGCCATTCTCCGTGAAATCACTGTGCAACACCCAGCTGGAAAATCAATGATAGAAATTGCTCGTACTCAGGATGAAGAAGTTGGAGATGGTACCACCTCAGTAATAGTCTTGGCTGGTGAGATTCTGGCTACGGCTGAACCATTCCTAGAACAGGGAACTCACCCGACTGTCATCATCAGGGCATACAGACAAGCTCTCGAGGACATGATAAAGATTCTGGAGGAGCAAGTCAGCACTAGTCTGGACATCAATGACAGGAATAAAGTTATTGAGGTAGTGAAATCCTGCGTTGGAACGAAATTCATTGGTCGCTGGTCAGAGTTGGCTTGTCAAATTGCTATTGATGCTGTCAATACGGTTTTGCTTGAGGAGAATGGACGACGTGAAATCGACATCAAGAGGTACGCAAAGGTCGAGAAGATTCCGGGTGGCAGCATCGACGAAAGTCACGTGCTCCGTGGAGTTATGCTTAATAAAGACGTAACGCACCCGAAGATGAAGAGAAGCATCAAGAACCCCAGGATTGTCCTCCTGGACTGTCCCCTGGAGTACAAGAAAGGCGAGTCCCAGACGAACGTCGAGATCATGAAAGACACTGACTTCACGAGAATTCTGGAGCTTGAGGAGGAGTTTATCAAGAAGATCTGCGAGGAGGTGATAGCAGTCAAGCCCGATGTCATCTTCACTGAGAAGGGAGTCGCTGATTTAGCCTCTCACTACTTCCTCAAGGCGGGTATCTCAGTAATTCGTCGTGTTCGTAAGTCTGATAACAATAGGATTGGAAGAGCGTGTGGAGCAACTGTGGTCAATCGGACTGAGGAGCTGAGGGAGGAAGATGTTGGTACTGGTGCTGGATTGTTCGAGATCAAGAAGATGGGTGATGAGTACTTCTGTTTTATTACTGAGTGCAAGGATCCCAAAGCTTGCACTATTGTACTCCGAGGTGCCAGCAAGGATGTGCTCAATGAAACTGAGAGGAATCTTCAGGATGCTCTCCATGTGGCTAAGAATCTGCTGATTGAACCCAAATTGGTTCCAGGTAAATTTAATTTTCTTGGGAATTACTGAATTGTTGATTTAGCGGAAGGGGTTACTTTGCGAATACTGTGGAAAAGCAGAGGGGTAATGAAGTTCAATAAAACAACTCTCATGTAGATATTGTACGAAACTACACGCTGCAAAGATAGCTAATAATTCAATAGCTAAATGGGAGTCCATAGTACTGTGAATCCTGAATTTCTTACTTGTACAAGAGAGGACATTGCAATGGGAGAAAGTTCTGAAATAATTGAACATTAATTGAGACAAAGTATCGAGTAGAATAATTCGAATAACAGAGGTTTATGTACACTGAAAGAAAAACGAACAAATGATTAAATAAGTCTGGTTTCAGACAACAAAATCGTTAGTTGAAAAATACCAAAAAAATAATTGTTTGGTTCGAATTTGAAAGTCGCAAGACAGTGCCTTTTCAGGATGAAAATATCTTTTATGTCGTTGGGCCGAGAAAACCGCGATTCTAACCGAGCGAAGCGAGGCATCTCGCCTTCGGCTCGGATTATAATCCACATTCGCCAGATAATACTTTTATCGCCTGGTTGCATAATATACTATTATAGGGGAAGTTTATCATGAAATATTTTGTCCCGAAGTTACAAGATCGCTGTCATATTATTATTATTTCCCTTAAGAACTCTTTTTGTTTGTGATTATTGAATAACCAAAACAACAAACTACTATCCCTCGTTTCATATAAAAGGAGCATCATCATCATTATTCTTATTATACCTTTCTTCTATACAACCAATTGTCTTTTTCACAGTTCTATCTCACTCCTGAGCCCTTCGATAAAATGTTATTAGAAAAATGTTATTTATATATAATTGAATGGATTTGAACCAGCACATTTGAAGAAACCACCAGAAAGCTCACCTTCAGGGAAATTCATGAAGAATTCAAAATTTTCAACAATCATCATAAGAAACAAATCAATCAATATAGCTATCGCTATAGCTATCTTTCCACTTCGACTTAATGGGATAAAATCTAACATTTTACGCTATGACTGAATTCATTTGAAGCATGATATCCAAAGATATGCAGAGAATCCTGCTTTTCAAAAAATACACAATTTTTGCAAATTTTTATATAAATCAAAACAACTATTTTTGCTATCATCTTCATCTTCGAACTCGGTCAAAAGAACACCCAAACAAACTTTTTAATCCATCATTCAATCAATCCAGAACATTTTTTTTAGTTATCGTACAAAAAACAATTTTTGAAAAATTTGAAAAATCAAATAATTAATAAAGGAATTAAATTTCAATTAATGGCGATTACTAGGGCTCAACAATACCTACATTTGAGGTGAAAAAAAATTCAATTTCATCCATTCATTAGTGAATAATCAAAGAAAAATTTGTTTACATACGTACGCACATACCTGCCTACGAAAAATCCAAAACTTAAATTTACACGATTACGATGCTTCCATTCGGAAGCAAAAAAAAAGAAAAGATTTGCTAGTTTTTGGATACCCTACCCTTTCACGAGTAATTTGACTCTAACTAAAAGAGACTTTAACTAAAAGACTGCTAAAAGTTTTCGGATGTATTATTTGAATGGGAATTGACTACCCGAAAAGTTGTGGTTCCGCGGTGCTAGAGTTGTCTAGAGCCTGAGGAAACCAAAAATTCCAGTGAAACGTCGCAATTTGGCAATAAATTAGTATTGTTTAAACTCTTCCAACATACCATTATTTAATCAACTATTATCATCCACTAAAATGAATAATATCGTAAATAGGGAACTTGCATAAAGCTCAATTCTTTCATCTTCATATGGATAGCTAAACGGCAAAAATTATGGGGAAATATTGCCTAGATGCCTTATGATAATGAATTGAAAATCAATCGTTTTAGAGGCCAATTTTTCGGTCATGACGTCACGAAGACTGTCAGGTAACACTTCATTAGTCGAAAAAGAAGAGAGTGGGGAGTTGTCCTCCATTGGCCGAGGCGTACCTCAAGATTGGGTGAGGTCGGCTTGAGCCATTCTGTGATTGGTCTAGCGCTCGACCGTCGGTATGACGTCATTAGCGATTTCAAAGCATTTGAAATCTTCAATTTTTAACAATTAATTATTAATTAAAGAGCAATATTTCAAACGTTTGTGAATGAAAAATGAATTATTCAGGTCTCAAACTTGAGATTAGAAAATTGAAAAAAAAATCGTCCAAGTTCCCTATTTGACAATAAGTTAGTATTGTTTAAACTCTTCCATCATGCCATTATTTATTCCACCACTATCATCCACCGAAATGAATAACATCGTACAGTGTCTTGCTACGTTCTGCCACCCCACTCTAAATTCTCTCAAAATTCCCCTCTCTAAAGCAAACTAAACCTCTAAATCCTCTTTGTCGTCTTGCAGGTGGTGGAGCTGTTGAAATGGCAGTATCTCGTCTGCTGAACGAAAAAGCAGCTGGTATCGCTGGTATCGAGCAATGGCCCTACAAAGCGGTGGCCCAAGCCCTGGACATCATCCCCCGTACTCTCGCTCAAAATTGTGGAGCAAACATCATCCGTACATTAACAGCACTGCGTGCGAAACACGCAACCGAGGGCAAAACCTGGGGAATCGATGGTGAAACCGGTGAACTAGTAGACATGAAAGTTCGCGGTATCTGGGAGCCATTGAGCGTTAAAATGCAGACATACAAAACAGCTATTGAGACAGCTATTCTCCTCCTGAGAATCGATGACATCGTGTCAGGCATCAAGAAGAAGGGAAACGACAATCAGCCCAGTGCTATGCCTACAGAGCAATCGATGATGGAGTAATAAACGCCGAAGAAAACAGTGAAAATCGCTTAATTTTTCATGATCGCCTTGAATTTACTCTAACGAACCACTCCATTTTCCCATTTGTTCTTCTTTCGCACTTTTTTTTATCAATAAAAACATGCATTTGTAAAAGTTGAATGAAAAAAAAAATTAACTATATAACGTAGACTGCGATTATTAACCCATCCCCATCGTGTTTCCATTGTATGTTAACGATCTATCGATGTGAGACATCTTAGGGTTGGGCATTAGGTGTCGAAATGTTTACTTCTCCTTTACACACCCGTTGGGTGAAAGGAACATGGATTTTAAAACTAAGCTCAATGCTTCCCACGCACATGGGAAAAGAATGAGCTAATTTTTTCATGGGAAGATGTCCCACACCGTTGTCTCTACATCCGTTCAGTCAGTAACAGTGAGTCTCTTCAACGTACAACAGTTATTACAAAGTTTAATTTTTTCTTCTTCGACGGTTTTTCCAATGCAAGTTGTTCACAGTTATTCTTATTTGTTGTTTTTTTCCACTCAAGGTCAAGAATATTAAACACTATAAAAACAGATAAGCGTAATTTGTTGATACCGTAAATGGTGTTTACCGAGTACATCGACGTGGCGTCGCATATATTGATTGCAGGCTTGCGCGCGCGTGTGTGTGTGTGTGTATGCAGTAAATGTGAATAGGCCTGGAAGAACACAGCGGGTAGGGGCCCGGCATGGTAAAAGGCCGGGGGAAAACGACACACCACAAATGACAACGTATTTTTGTTCATTTTTCCGTAACGGTTTTTATTTGAGTGATTTGTATTTTTAATTTACGTTGAGTGTCAGCGTTTAAATTTCATACAAATGTGGAGGAAATCTGGGAGATGATGCCGGGCATGTCTCGACAATTTGCAGCATCGAACAGTGGTAAATTGATTTATTCCATTATTTTGAGGTTGACAGATGCTTCAGGCTCGTCGTTGTAAAACGCCAATGAATTTATTCAAACGATTTTCCTTGGGTTTGATCGGTTATTTGGAGTGTTGTTGAATCCTCTAGGATTTTTTAAAAATATTTATGAAAGTTATTTTTCCATGTTATTCAATGTTATTCGTGGGCACAAGGTCCTGAATGGGACAGTCTGATGGAGGTTCATCATGAAGCTATTGAAAAGAATTATGAGCTGCTTGAGGAGATTGGCAAGTGAGTGGTTAGGCATTAATGTATTAGATTAATCCATCGATTTGTCGTTTACGTTTTTATTCCTGCAGAGGCCAATTTGCAGTTGTCCGGAAATGCGTGGAGCTCAAAACAGGTTTGGTTTATGCTGCAAAGATAATGAGGAAGAGAAGAGTGGCGAGGGGAGTTGCTGCAGCTGATATAGGTAAACCACAAGATAACGTAGAACCTAGAGTATGTGAATGATTATGTAAATGTAGAGCAGTGAACTCCATTTTCATTAACTGAATTAAATTAATTTCAGCACGCGAGGCAGGACTGCTAGCACAGCTTCGTCATCCCAATATTGTCACCCTCCATAAGGTGATTGATACTGGCAAGACAGTTGTTCTGCTGTTGGAATTGATTTCGGATGGGGAGTTGTTCCATTGGACACCATCCAGCGAGGTTGAGGCTGCTCATGTTGTACGTGGCTTTTAGTTTTTGATTTTTTTAGTTTAATGCGACCAAGTGCAGCTAATGACAGTAATGGTGTTATTCATTTATGTTCCCAACAGGTTAGACAGGTTTTGATGGCACTCAGTCATTTACACTCGCACCAAGTGGCTCATTTGGATATTAAGCCGGAGAATATCCTGTTGTCAACTCCTCCGCCTATGCCAAATATTAAATTAATAGGTAATAAGGGGTAATCCATTAGTTTTGTAAGAGAGAGTTTTGGCGATTGGAGTGGAGGAATGAATTTGAACTTGTGTTGATGATTAATAATTTTGGCATAAAAATAGTGGCGAATTGATGAAGTGTAATACGCATGCAAAGTTTTTATCAATTGCTAATTCACTTGGAAAATTAGTGATTATATGAGAAAATATCGAGAGACTTTCTGCACAGAGAAAAAAGTATCTAATTTTCAATAAAAATCTGTATCATGCTAAAATCTGGAAATAATTGAAATTTTCATTTTTTGAACGAAAATCTTCCCTAAAAATTAATTTTAAAAAGTTATAATGCTCAGTCATTTTTTATTTAATCCGATTATAATTGTACTTAAATTAAGGTTTATTTTCACTTATTCCTCGAAAATCTTGTGGTTCGACAATCAAAAATCTCGGCTTTCTCAAATTAATAACATTCTCCTTCTTCAATTGATAATTTTTCCTGTTTTGAAATTAATTTATTGATTTTATAAATGCTCTGTTATTCAAAGTATACTAGCCGACTCGTTGACTCAATCAATGTTGATTTTTTTTCATTAATATTCTAAATGAATGTTGAATTAATGTGCAATTATTTTCGAATTTGATCCCTTTAGAATGTTCATAGTTTTAAAGAGTGCACGTCCGTAATTTAAGAACTTTTCTTACTTGAAATGCGTAGAAGTTGAGTAGCTTATTTTCAGTACGATGCTTTCTAGGACCAAGAATTCTTTACAATCAGTAACTTAGTTCTCAAACTTGGGAACTTTCTGTGTTTATAATTGAGAAAATTACCAAGAAGATTGTTGCTGTGATATTTTGCTCTTGAATGACTCAGTGTCAAGATAATTCAGTCTTTAACAAGATATGGAAAATCCACTTGTTATGTTTAAGGATATCCAAGTACTGAGCTATTTTTTCTCTATTGAAATGCTTTTCTACTTTTGTAATCGAACGTCAGAGCTTTCATTTAAGTCCCATTTAACCCTAAGTTTCCGGACATTTTACAATGATTTTATCATTTAAACTTTGCAGGCCTCAATTTGAATCTCGATATTGAACCGTTAGAAAACATTTAAAAATCTGAGAAAAAATGGAAAGTTCACTTTTGGAGGAAGATTGATGAAATAATTTAAAAACTATAATTTTTTAAATTTACGAGCTTTTTCTATAAATAATTTATAAACAATTAATTTTCGACCACAAAAATCACTTTTGTCATTCCGACCGCAAGCCAGCGATTTATGGACACGTAGCGGACAATCGTTATGACGCAAAATATTATTTGATACATGGCCTAAAAAACTGTTTTAGCTCATATGATTGCAACTCTGGCTCTGGCTCATATTCGCCAGAAAAGTTTTTTAGGCCATATGTCGAAATCGTAACAAATTTATTTATATTCCGAATTTTATCAGAAATCGATTTCGCGCGGAATAAAATAAGGTTTCCGAAAGTTTGAATAATTTTATTTAATTTTATTATTTATTTATAAACAACGAATGTTGAAAAAATAATAATTCTGTGCAAAATGTAATTTGGATGACACCGAATATTCACGATTTTATTCAAATTTTTCTCACGCGATTTAATTGACAAATTTGATAATTGAAAATGGATATCCTTAACTACTTATCTCCTGATAATAATTGTCTGAAATACAAAAAGGACCTCTAGGGTACTAAATTTCTCAAATATGACACGAGTCCTAGACAATTTCGACATTGACAGCAATTTCATACTCTAATATGCTAGTAATAATTACTGAAACAGGCCAGGTGAACTCAACTTGAGCCTAATTTTTTTCGTGAGCATCTTTCTTGCATAATCACTGATTCATTCTGAAACTTATCACAGAGAAAAAAAATTCTCGTTTCCAGAACCAAGGTACTAATTTTACGAAATTCTGTGAAAAGCGTCCTTTATTCCAGAATCGCGGGGTTTTGAAATTGCAAACCATTGGGGGCATTCCGATATTGTCATACTATTAAAGGGGGGGGGGTGTACTTTATGACGATTCTGGTTGGGGAGGGGAGGAGGGTGCCTAGATTGAGACGTCATACCAATTTGCCAAAATAATTTGAGAAGAAAAAGATATCAATTGGTGAATCCCATGTTTCTCATTTTAATAACTCCATGGTTCTGAATGCCAGAACCAAGATTGCCTTAAAGTAAGAGAAAATATCCTTCAATCTAAGTAAAATTGATACTGGATTTTCATAAAAATTACTGAGATTCAGAACTTTTTCGCTGTTTTCTGGAGAAAATTGTTGCAGAATAAGTGAAAATTTCCCTTAAATGTAGAACTTCTTGCTCCCTAGATTTCTGTACCACAGACTTCTGAAATTAAGAAATTTTTACTGAAAACACCAAACTCCTCCTCCCTGCCTATTATTAAGGCAAATTTCATTATGTTTCGTTTTTATAGATCTAGGACTTTCTCATCGTCTAGCACCAGGCTCCGAGCTTCGTGCACTCTTTGGTACTCCAGAATTTGTAGCACCTGAAATTGTTAATTACGAACCCCTCAGTTTGGGAACTGATTTGTGGGCAGTTGGTGTCTTGACATACATTCTATTGAGTGGTGCCTCACCATTTCTTGGTGAAGATAAACAAGAAACTTATGCCAATGTCGCTGCTTGCCAGTATCAATTCGATGATGAGTATTTTGGTAGTGTTACGGAAATCGCTAAGGATTTTATACGTTCTCTCTTAGTTAAGGATCCAAAGTGAGTTGTAAAGACTTTGAATTTGATTGATAATTTCAAGAATTTATGGGTCAGAATGATTAAACTATTCATTTTATTGTGTTTAGGGAACGAGGGAGCGCAGAGTCGTGCCTTAAACATCCCTGGATCCTTACGGTGTGTTCCTGCATCAAATAGCTTCATTTATTTATACACAACGTAGTTAATTTACTTTAGTTTATTATACATTCCTTATCACTTAATTTTTTTTTTGTACTTATGCGATAAATCTTCGGCTGAGTTTCTCTTTCCATTCGTAACAAATCACAAAGCAGAATTTTCCTTTCGCCTGTAAGATTTATAATGAAGTTTAACGAACAATTACAAATCGAAAAACTGTAAATAATGATAAAAACAGAAACAAAACAATTTTTCTTTTCCTTCACAAATTAATGAATATTTAGACAACTCACGAATGCATGATAATATTTTTATTGAGTAGGAATGAAAACAGAAGTTCACTTGAGCGTCTTGGTTTTAATGGAGTAAAATGGGTTTATTTTCTCATGATCAGGAGTCCGAAACGTCGCAGGATCTGAGTGGTGCTATGATAAGTGCTGTTAAGCGGGGCTGTATCCAGGCAGTCTCACAATTACTGAGGCAAGGTGCCTCGTTGGACGTCAAGGATGCTGTGAGTCTGTCACATCTAAAATACAAGATTCCCTTACATGATCCTATGAATATCTATGCAATTGAGTTTAAAGAATTCATAGGATCTTTGTGAAGGAAAATTCATGGGATTTAGAAAAATGTCTTGACATCTTTCTCTAGGCTTTCTCATTGCATAGATATTTACTAAGTCAGTAGCGAAATGGTGAAATGAGACAAGTTTACTTAAGGGGAGGTTCACCATGGAAACAAAACTTTTTCATTTTGCGAAGAAAAATTTTTGAAAGAACTATTTTTCTCCCGATATTTTTTTTGATCAGTATGTCGATTCTGTTGGTCGAAATTATCTCCACTGGCTCAAAATTAAAGATTTGCATTTTTTTTCACTTAAATTCAACTTAAAAATGTTTTATTTATCTCAGGACACTCTTTAAATCTTCAACACGAGATTTTTATTCTTAATGATTTTCAACTTGCCATTTTTCCTGTTCAGACAAGGCTTATTTCGGTGCGTGGTTTTCTTTCTCTCTTGAATTTGTAATAATTTTCAACTGAATTTTCAAACATTTTTACCATCATATGAAATGAAAATTTGAATTTTCATTAAATTTTAACGAATCTGATTAGTTTTTTAGCAACAAACCCCTGAAATTTCATATAAATCAATTATTTTCCGAAAGTCAAGAGATTTTTACTTGTTATTTTCTGACGGTGTTCTGTCTTTAGCACTTCACTTCTAAAATGTATTCATTGGAATATTTGTTGACGATTTTTTTTAGAAGCAAGATAGTCTTCTACACATTTCATGTGCGTCTGGTGACGAATCGATGACGGGGCTCTTGATCGAAAATGGAGTAGAACTTGATGCGACGAATGAGAAAGGCCTGACTCCGCTCCACGTTGCAGCACGCAATGGTCACATTAATATCGTCAGACTCTTGTGTCTGTCTGGATGTGATGTTGACAAAACAAATCGGGGAATTCGGGCCGATGTAACAGCCATCAAACATGGACATTTTGAAATTTCAAATCTTCTGGATAAACTCAGAAATGTAGATATTCTTGCTATTTTATTTTTAGCAATTCTTTGCCAGGTTATTTGGTATGGGTGTGACTGGGAATTCATGAGTGTCCACAGGGAAATCAACGAGAGAATTATGTAAAGCAGCTGCAGCCTACCCACAAGGCAATTGATCGCCTACACGTACGCCTATTGGGACACTGTGCTACAGGAAAAACGTCCTTGATAAATTCTTTGAAGTCTGGAATATTTAGTTTCGGATTTTTTCGAAGATCTAGGAGTCAGAATTGCACTACTAAAGTAAATTAAATTATGTTCGATTTCTTTTATTGAAGCACATACGAAAAAATCTTATAGAAAAAGCTAATACATTCGCTAGAAAATTCTATTGAATTACTATTGGGCTTTCTTAAGAAATCTATTAATTTATCGTCAATTCTATTGGAAAATTCTGCAGCTTCCCTGCATGTTTTTTTTCAATAGAAAGTGGAAAATACGAACTATTTTATTGAAAAATCAATCGAATTTAGTATTTCTATGCAAATTATTCTACTGAGATGTTTTTTATAGAAAGTCCTCCACACAAGTTTTCTAAGGTTTTTCAATCTATTTTCTTTCTCTTCTAATTTAAAAAAATCGAACGATGAAAACTTGGAAGATTTAGGCCCAGAAAGTGTACAGAAAGCTAGCTTTTTCTATAAATTTCATTTTTAAGTGAGGATACACTAGTGAAACTAACAAATCCTGTAGTTCCATGAGTATCCGGACCTTCCCTATCGAAATTTCCTCAACATGGAAGTTTGTAGAAATGTGGATTTCCTATAGAAGACACTGCATAAAGAGTCCTTCATAAAGCAATATTTCACATCACTTTTTGTCCTTCTTGAGAAAAAACCAAGAACTTGATATCATTCATAAAACTTCTTCCTCTCCGGGTCACGCTGCGGTCATATCAAATTGAATGAAATTTAATAGAAATGAAATTGAAATAGAATCTTTCTTATTCTAAATGCTAATGGCTCGAATGTTAAATGCCTAAATTACTCATCAAGGCAACTTTAATCCGCAATTAAAAAAATATATACATTCACCTGTTAATCTCTATTGCAAATTGAAGGAAACTTATACGTATACAATACACATAAAAAACCTAGTGGACAGAGATGGAACAAAAATGATTGTGGATTTATATAAATGTAAATTCGTTGAGGGAATTTCCATAGAAAATTCCATAAAAATTCCTATCAGATGGTTTTCTGGTATGATCGAAAGTGGAAATTGCTATTTCCAACGAAAAAGAAAGGTTTCTTGTTTTTATATCACCTGCTCGCTATACATATTTATCATAATGCCTAGTATATTTAACATACAACGTGTACACTGGGGTGCCCGCCATCTCACCATATTGTCTCTTGATTTGTTATTCTTGTAGACATGCATCCCACGGCATTTATCCACCTTAGTAATTTTCTTCAGAGGTTTCTGAATACCATTGGCTCAGTAGAATTCCCAGTTCTGCGTTAGGTGTAGATCTGGGGAAGGAGACTTTAATTTGGTGAAGCTGTTTTTGCATTAACATTACACGTCGTCGACCACAAAAACGAGACTGACCCCATTTTATAGATAGGGGAAAGTGGGGTAAAATGAAACCATCGAGAAACGACTGTTTGACGCAATTCAACAAAAAAAAATTTTTTTATTAAATATTTTTTTTATCAACTTTTGTTTATTCTTGGGAGTACTGAGGATAATAATAATTTCCTATTAAGTAGAATGGAAAATTATTGAGAAGTTTCGACGGGAGAAGATTTTGTCAATCGACTAATTAAAAAGAAAATGAAACAGCAAAATCCAAAATCCAGAGCAAGGCCCAGGGGGACACCCAGAGGGGGAAAGAGAAAAAAGAAAAGGGTAATCGACCTAATCTAGACAATTGAATTATATGACGAATAGAAAATTATCATTCTCATCAGTACTCCCAATAATAACAAAAGTTAATAAACAAAAGTTGATAAAAAAACAATTTTTTGGTTTGACTTGTGTCGAATAGTCATTTTTCGGCTGTTTCATTCTGCCCCCCTCGCCCCTATTTTAATACTGATTTTAAATTTCTTTTGGAAAATCTTTCTAGCACGTCTAGTTGTCGTGAAAAAAACTGTTGAAGTGTTAAAAAGTGGCTGAAAAGGCCAATTTAAAAAATTTATCAAAAAATGAGTAGTTTTTTCCCGAAAAAATACAATGAATTAATGACAACGCAATTTGTTTAGTGCATGTGGGTTCATCCCAATTTTTTGAGTCGAAATGAGTGAAAAAAATCTCAAAAAAGAAAAAAGTAAAAAAGTAAAAGTAAAAAGTAAAAGTAAAAAAATTTCATGATTTTTCGTGTAAAATTAAATGCCAAACTTAAATCTATCTACACACGTGTTTTAACCTTGTGCGTTAATCTATTTATTTTTCAACTTTATTTCAGTAACTGAACCTCTCAACGAGTGAGGGTGACTTCTCATAAGAGCAATTAACAGGTTACCTTCTAAGAAAGACATTTGTAAACTTCATGCTAAGAGAGCATTCAAATATTACGTCACGCGTTTTTCGGACATTTTAGACCCCCCTCCCCCCTCCGT